TTCCAAAAAGAAATAAATCCCTAAGTGTTAGCTTGGATTGAGGCAGGGACCTTGACAGACAGCAACTGAACCAGATAACAGAAGAGAGGAGCAGCTATGCGCAGAAACGGAAAACAGAAGCCTGGGTGGAACACTGGCCTTGCCTTCAGACAATGACATAACTATTGGACCTGCTGGTCTACACTGCGTAGCTGACTCTCCCAGGGGAGCTTAAATTCGGTGAGATTGCACGCTGTGATGGCTTTGACCCGTGGATTACAGATACAGAATTGGCTTGCACAGCCTTCTGAAATCATCAAGTAAGAATCGTATCTTTGGGCACTGCCTCAGTCACAGCATCCCAGTTTAACTAAAAGAATGGTGTCCCTTCTTCCTCTTCTGAGACCTGGACAGTGGAGGAAGCTTCTAGTCCTTGGGAAGCTCTGCCAAGCCGTGCTCATTAGGTTGATGCCACGGGTTTTTGCAAAGCCCTTCAGCGCAGTGCCCAGCAAGTCAGTGGCTCTGAGTTGATATTTGGGAAGGGGAAAAAACTCACAGAAAATCCAGGTAAGTGTGAGAGTATCTAACCCTCTTTCTAAATGTGATTTGAGATCTTTTTCATGCCAACTAATGGGCATACAGCTTCTTGTCCTGTGTCTGCCAAGACTCAGGTTCAGTCAGGTTTTTTAAAAAGAAAAAAGTACCTGATCCACCTACAAGTGGATAGAGCTTTTCCCAGCTTCCCACAGGATCGCGTAACCACCCCCACCCCACGTCAAACCGTCCAGCAGCTCTTCTGTGCCCTTCATGCCATGCTGGTCTTCAGGTAAAGAGACAACTCTAGAATTCTACAGTCTCACAAGAGTTTCCAAACCTTCAGGTCATTATTTTTAAGGTCATGTGCAATGCATTTGACGTGGAGGAAAATAACAGTGAGGGCTGTTAGCTGCCGGCCACACGCCTTCTGTTTATTATCACACTCACTCTTGATATGGCTCTGAGTTCGGTGCAGCTGCAACCCTCATTTTAAACATGACTTCCCTGTTGGTAAGGATGCTTGGGAGGCAAATAATTTCATAAAGTCCATGCAGTAAGAAAGAGAACTCAAGGGCCAAGAGTAGTGGTCTAACCTGTAAGCTAAGTGCATGGGGGGGGGGGCAGAGGCAGGAGGATCACTGCAAGTTCAAGACCAACCTGGTCTAGATTGTGAGTTCCAGACTAGCTAGGGTTAGCTAATGAGACCCAGACAAAGAAAAAAAAGGTTAAATGGATGAAATTGAATAAACAAAAAAGGGAGGAAGGACTTGAGGCTTAGTTCATGACATCTAGGTACCAGAGATGAGTGTTTACATCTGAGAATGTATCTGGGAAGTCGCTGGAGCCTCGTTCTCCCCAGTTGTAAGAACTAGAAGTGTGTCTCACAGATGGCCCAGCACTGGACAGACAGACTCCAGCCACCCAGCCATAAGCTCCTAACCCCCAAACCAGCACTGAGAAGCTGTTGCCATTCTCCCACTTTGCAGATAGGGAAACTGAGGTGAAGCAAGTTAAAGCACTTGCCCTTGATGTCAAACTCAAATCTCTGACCCTGGAGCCTTGAGCTCCTTCAAACTAACTGTACCTGCCAACCAGCTGGGTTGATTACTTATCTAATTAATAAGGCAACAATCTAATAATCTCTTAGGTAAAAGGGCGATCAAATATTTTCCATTGTCCCACTCAGAAATAGCCATGTAATTGCACAATTGCACCGTGATTCTGCCTTTGTCCCTCTTCCCCCCCCCCCCCGGACACTTGGTTGAGCTCTGGCTCCTGGCAGTTGGCAGGAAAGTCTAGAGAGTATTTGTAAAGCAGTGTGTGGCTGTGGGAACCAAGGAGGATCTCAGAAGCTCGTCTTTGGGAAAGGGACAAAACTGTCAGTAAGCTTGTGTAAGTTTTAATTTCTAGTATTCCAACTTTCTCTCTGGACCCATGATATGCAAATTTTCTGTTCTGTTTTATAACCTAAGTCCACACCAGGGCAGCTTGTTAGCAGATGCCAGTCCAAACAATTTCTGGTGTATTCCTGCCACATGCAGGACACTGCCCTTGACCCTACACGCCCTTTACCTGATAATAAGATGAGAATGGCACTGGCCCACTGCACCAGGAGTCGGGCTACTGTGCACATGATTGTGAAAACTGCAACTGGTGGGACTTTCCTTGGAACTAAAGGAAAATCAACCGACTCTTTGGGCTTCTATTTTTTCTCTCATAAAATGAGAAAGAGGGAAGAGAAGGAATCTAGTCCTCTGTGTTGCTGGGCAGACAAGCAGTAGGGGATGGATGCTAATACGTTCCCAGAAAAGTGAGCAAAACTGTGAGGAAAAGGATAGTCCACAAAACCCACTACTGCTCCTCATTATACAAGGCTGGCTTTATCTGGGAGCTTTCTAGACCAACAAGCAAACACTGGGGCTTCAGGGGAAGTTCGGACAACTGAGTTTTTGTAGAGTCTTGTGTCATTGTGTGTCTGCTGGAGCCAACAATAAGATGACATTTGGAAAAGGAACAATTCTGAGGGTCACACCAGGTATGTTTGATGACATTTACTTGTCTCTAAATCTAAACCATCACTTTAAAAATTCTTTGGAAACAACCACATTACCCACTGACCAGAATCTTCCACTGCATTGCTAACTGGTCACGGTGGCACCATAGCCAGCCCTACAACAGAACCTTAGACTAACTGGTCACGGTGGCACATAGCCAGCCCCTACAACAGAACCTTAGACTAACTGGTCACGGTGGCACATAGCCAGCCCTACAACAGAACCTTAGACTAACTGGTCACGGTGGCACCATAGCCAGCCCTACAACAGAACCTTAGACTAACTGGTCACTATGTCTCAGGATGATGCTCACTGCTGTGTTCTAACTGGGTCCTCCCAGAATGTTTACATCCTTGCCTGGACTGAGTTCTGTGCACCAGAGGAGACCCTTCTAATACTCTCTCACTTCTGTGCTCTTGCTGACAAACTGGCGCCTGGGCTTGGAAAAGGACTCTTAGGCCAGGCATCTTAACAGCCCTTCTCTTCACCCCATGAGGCCAGAAGGACGCTTTGGGTGATGCCTCACCATTCTCAAAACAACCTAATCTCTATCAGCTTCAGTGTTGCTGAAATTTTGCCTTGCGAGACAATTTCTATTTTCTACACCAATGGAAGCTTTTTCCAGCTAACTATTTAGAAGTTAACATTGCCTCATAATTCCAAGATACCAGCTACCCAACTGGGTATCTCAAAGCAAATCCACTTGCATGGCTGAATTATTATCCACATTTAAAAATGCCAGAATGAAAATGTCCTCAGAACCACTGTGTTGCCTCTGTTTGACCTTCCTTAAGTCCTTCATGCTAAAACAGTATCAAGTAGAAAACCATTTAGATGCTGGCCTGTGTGTCTAGTGGTTCACAGGGGCCCAAGGAGCAGGCAGGTCAGTAGCTGCATTTCCAGACTGGAGTGACTGTTTAGAGCTCTCCAAATACGAGAAATATAATCAGGAAAAATATACAACTCTATTTTATTTATAATTCTTACACTTCCCAAGGAACTGTTTTAAATTCTCCCCCATAGTGTTGTGGTCTTTCTTTGGGTCCCTCTATTTGTGATGTGTGAAGGTGAAATGTCAGCTGAGGTTGAAAATGCATCCCTGAGATCTACCTTCAGCTTCCCCTGCCAGAGGGGTTCTAAAAAAGATAAGAAACTGACATTTGAGAAGCAGATTAAAGAGAAAATCCAAATTAATCCCAAGGAGTGATGCTCAATAGATAACTCCCTGTTAGTAACAATGACCTGGCTGTGGGTTGGGGAGGGAGGTGTTCAGAAATAAATCCACCTAAGCACAGAAAATGAGAGGATTTCTGGGAACAGGCTCCTCCCTGGCTCTTCCATGTGCCTTTTAGCCTTTCCTGTCTTAGAGCGGTGTTTTGAGTCCCCAAAGAGGAGGCCCCAGAGTCGGTCCAGGAACTTTAAGTAGGAAGTCAGCTTAACTTCACTGGGGAGACTTTTAAGTGTAAAGATTCTTTTAATCCAACTGTTTCAGGGAAAGTTCTGTAAAGGCTGGATGAAGGGCGGGAGGAAAGGAAGTTAAGATCTATGAAGGAGAAAAAGATAAAGATGTTAAATGTCTGACAAAGAAACTGAAGTTTCCAGTACATTCTCTACAACTGGTAAAGGAGACTGTGAAGGGCAAGAGGAGCACAGCAGGGAGGTGCAGCCACACCCCGCAGGTTTGTGAGGTTCAGCCATTCTCCATAGCAGACTTGACTGCTAGGCACCTGGCCTGGCTTCTTCAAGCGAGGAAAGAGGCTCTGCTGTGCAGTTTGCATGCAAGCATTGTAAATCTGTGCTGTGTGGCCCAACTCCGAGAGTGGTTTCTAGAAGCTGGTGTGTGAGCAAGGGACAGGCTGACCTGACTGGATGTGGAGGCCGAAGCTGCTTCTAGGTCTCCACAGCCATCTTTCTAGGCTGTGTCCTCCGAGCTCTGATGAAGAAACAGACACAGTTTGCCTGCTCTTCCAGAGAAGCAGGCCAGAGAGGATGGGCAAGCACCAAGCCTCACATAATATGTGTATCCCTGACCTCTTTTGCTTCTGAAATCCATTTCCCATGGACCAGAAACCAGTGAATTGATTTTAAGTAATTCAATAAACAGCAGAGAAATCGTGGTCCAAAAAGTGCAATAAACTACATGAGTACCGAGCTGGAGAAAACAATTAGGAAGGAAGAGAGAGAAAAGGCTTACCAAAACGAAGGTGGCAGCTTAGTCATAAAAAGAGCAATAAAAAAAAATCACATTTAAGACATATATATATATATGTCTTATATATATATATATATATTGGGTTTCTATATCACAGCCTTCCACTGGCCTCTAGAAGCCCAGGTCTTGGCAAACCTGCAATGCAGTGTGGGGATGAGAGCAGCCAGGGCCCTTCTGCAAGAGCAGCCCTAGTTCCTGTTTTTGTAAAGCCTCCCCAGGCTGTGGGAACAGTGGAAGCGGCAGCTACAAACTGACATTTGGAAAAGGAACTCTCTTAACTGTGACTCCAAGTAAGTCTTAAGGGACAGGCAGAAGGGGACATTCAGACGCCTCTCTTTCCTCTTTGCCCCAGCTTAGCTTCTAAATCTGAATGGATTTATTGTGGAGAGATGGTGCCCAATGCCACAGTACAAAGACTAGATGGCCTCTAGCCAAAAATATCCCAACAATTCGCCTTAAGTCAAATTATTGGTACAGGGAGACAATCTGAATATAGGATCCAGAAGGATTCAGCTAAGTCTGGAAAGGATTTTCCAGAAAGATTGAGAGGAAATTGGCATGTTGTGACTCTGCAAATTTAGTGAACCAAAAGTAATGTAGATACTAAAACTACACCAAAATAATGTGGGACCCAAAATTTCATTAATGATGGGAATCCTATAGCCTGATCTATTTCTTATGCCTTCTTGCTCTTTCTCTCAAAGAAACTACTCAGTCTCGCCTGGAGACTTGAGATCTCTGTAGGAGAGACTGTCTGGTTCACTGGGAAGAGCATTAAATCCCTTTCATAGGTAATCATTCAGCCTCTTCTTAGTTCACTTGAGACTAGAGGAATCTGACAATGACGTGTGTGCACTGGTGAGGACGGGTGTGCACTGGTGAGGACGGGTGTGCACTGGTGAGGACGGGCGTGCACTGGTGAGGACGGGTGTGCACTGGTGAGGACGGGTGTGCACTGGTGAGAACGGGTGTGCACTGGTGAGGACGGGTGTGCACTGGTGAGGACGGGTATGCACTGGTGAGGACATGTGTGCACTGGTGAGGACGTGTGTGCACTGGTGAGGACGTGTGTGCACTGGTGAGGACGGGTGTGCACTGGTGAGGACGGGTGTGCACTGGTGAGGACGTGTGTGCACTGGTGAGGACGTGTGTGCACTGAAACAGTTAAAATCTCACAGAAAAGTCCCTGTGGTTGCTATTGACACTTTCAAAAATACCTGTGTTGCTCGTGGGTTTTAAGACTCTACTTCAAAACTGACCTGTTCTAAAATTCAGCTACCGTGAAAGGAGGAGAACGTTGAAGGGTGCCATGGCGTAGGCTGTGTGCCCTGGGTGCTGCATAGAAGCCAGATTCCTAGTTCCTTTAGTTCAGCTCTGTCCTCTGTGATCAAGAGAAGAGCCACAGTGGGGTGGGGTTGTTGTGAAACAGACCAGGCAAGGCTCTTAAAAAGAGTGGCTCCAGGAAAGGGACTCTAATGATTGATTCAGGGTAGAGATGTTACCAAAAACTTAGTTGAAAAAAAAAATGTTTAACAGTATAAAAGTCAAATTGAGTTAAAGGACCAAAATATGTCATATAATAAAATCATGTGAGTTTTTCTCTTTGCAACTTTTTGTGGCATCCATCAGACTAGACAACAAAGCCCCCAGTTTCCCATGGTTGTGACTGTCAGCACTAGGAGCTTCATTTGATCAAGGCCTGGAATTTACAGCCATCCCAAGTAACTCTACAGGGATGTCTCCGTGGGGACATCTCATTATCCACTGGAGTGCCAGGCCTGCTCTGTAAGTCTGCACACCTCTGCAGAGATGGTAGGGTCCCCAAACAGCTCATTACGTTAACAGATAGTTCACTGTGGTAACCGGGCTCAGAGGTAAACGTCCTGTGAGGTTCTGCTTGCATGCCATCAGTGCAAGAACAGCAGAAAGCTACACTGTGTGGAGGCTCAGCTCAGTGTGCCCACCATTTCCCTCTCCTGTGCTAAGGCAGGAAGGGAGCTGAGGAGACAGCGTTTCCCAGGGCTGAGTCTAAATTTCATCTCATTCCAGTCAGCCTCCAAATGGGGATCACTATCCTCTATCCTCCTGTCTCCTTGTCATCAATTCATTGTCATCAGAAATGTGTGACGCCTCGAGGGGAGGGAAGGACATGCCTTGCAAGCTGAACAGAGAAACTGTCCTAAAAGTGATGCTGTAAATGGAAATGAGACCTTTAGAAGAGAACACTGAGCATGAGAAATCAGCAAGCCTCGTTGTGAAACCAGAGGAAAGAGGGGTGGGAGGCAGGCCCTGGGTGCGGCTGGTCAGTGTCTCTGGACCAAATGTAGAAACGGTGCCTTGACCTTTAGAGGATTATACTCAGCCTCATAGGCCTAGGCCTTTCCGGGTGAGTTTATTTCCCCCAAAACTAAAATGGAAAGCTATCTGTGAGCCTGGGGGTTCCACCAGGTGTTTTTGCAAAGGCCTCTGTTACAGTGTTACTACTGGTGCTTCCACGGGCAAGCTGACATTTGGACAAGGGACCATCCTTAGGGTCCACCCAAGTAAGTGATAAAGGACGTGGCTGCACAATGGGGTTCTGAAGGGTCGTCCCTGGCATCGGGTTTAAAAGAATGTGTGCTGTTTAGGAGCCGCACTTTGCCTAAGTAAACTAACACTGCTCAGGGTCCTTAGTCAACTTCAGTCTCGTCTAGTTTCTTCCCCCAAGAGTAGCCAATCCTGATGTTGGAAAGCTGGGATCGTTTCCATTTTCAGAGTCTTTTCTGGAAGTGGGGCACTTACTTTTGGGGAGAGGAGGGAACTCTTTCCAACTGACTCCTCCTGAGTAAGTCATCTTATGTTTCACAGCATTCCCTATCAGAAAGGTCCCCCGTATAGCAATCTTCAACTCTTCTTGGCCCAGCTAAGGCCACCTCCACGGGAGTCCTCCCCAGCAGAGAGAGATAATCAGAACAGGGTGTGGATGAATAGCTATGTCGTATTCAGCTTGGAGGGTCTTAAATGAAGCAGAGAAGGGAAAACAGACAACTGTATGGGACCATAAGGTCTCACTTCAAATCCCTCTATGTCCCCTGAATGTATCCAACTATATCTATAAATGCAAAACTACAAAAGAGAGAAAGGAAGGCCAGAAAGAAGGGGTTACTATGTTTATTCCCTGTCACTGAAACCACAGGCAAAAAATGACAAGTAATTCCAAAGAGTGACAGGTCCAGAGCTTAAAACCATTCTTAAAGTTCACGATAACTCGCATCCTTGCCAATAACTAGAGCAGATAGGAAGACTTGGTTCCAGTTGTGTTTGCAACTGGATCCCACTGGGAAAAGAGAGAAATGCAACTATTTTTTAAGATGCATAAAATTCCTCCTGTCATCTGTCGTACAACCCCACTGCAGAGAGATGTGTGACAGTGAAGCGAAGCCGATGTGTGGAGAGAGACAGCTGGAGAGAGAGCCCAACTCAGTGTCCCCCAACACCATTGTTCCCTTCCCCACTTCAGGCCTTTTAGATCTTCCTTGTAGGGACCCTAAGGGAGCCAAAGAGACCTGAATTAGAGAGAGCCTGGAGCTTGGAGAGCGTGGGCGCTCAGAGATAATTAAGTCAGTGAGTGGCAAGCAGGAGAGGAAACAGTTAAAAGGCAGAAGGAGACATTCAGTGCAGCTTGACAGGACTGAACCAGGAGGAAGGGATCAAAGAGAAAGCTGTCATCACTATAGTTGCCATCCCAGGAACTCTACCAAGGACAGTGTCTTCTCACAAAGAGATGTGTGCCCAGCACTGTCTGAAATGGCTACTCTTCTGCAGGCAGAGGGCACGGCACAGATTCTAAGTGTGCAGAGGACATATCGGACATGACTTTTTAATCTGGCCTTAGCGGCGTAGATTCACACCAGGTGGGTGTGGAGCAACATTGTTAGCAAGGCTGCTCTGAGGTTCATTGTGGGGTTATACAAATGTCTCAAATGTGCAAGACACCTGCTAGTAAAGTCCGGCCCTAATGGGCACAGCCCAGGTTGTACCAGGACCGCTCATGTTGTTGTTGCTGCTGCTGTTCAGTTTCCCAAGCCCAGGAGTGTGAGCACCAACACTGAGAGCTTGACATTTTAGTTCAGGAGCCAATTGACTGAAATATGTCAAAGGGGTCTGAAAGGCCAAGATGCCTCCAATATGTGGTCTTTGTGTTAACTCCCCGGCAGCTGTCATCTCAGCGGAACACATCCACTTAGAAAGGTCAGCCCTTCATTAGCCAGACAAATGAGAACAACACGTAGACCAGAGGAAAGGTGTGGGCAGTCCGGATCTGGGCTTTGGAGAGCCTGGCCTTTCTAACCCTTCAGTGACAGTGTGCTGGTGAGCAGACGCTGTCTCCAAGACGGTAGATCGATGATGCGTGAGGACCTGGTGTCACCAAGCTTGCTTGGAGATCGGGATGAGGTACCGATGGAAATGCTGTGGGTGGAGAAATCATGAAGACGGGAGGAGAAGACAAGGGGGCCCGATGGTGCCTTTTAAAACCTGCTGCAGGGTACCAGGGGTTCTGACAACGCCACAGAGATCTGCATACTCCTAGCAAGTGTCCTGCTGTCCCCAGCAGAGACCCTTCAAAATGTGTCTCCTCAGATCCCATAGACTGAACAGGACCCGTGTTGTAGCACAAAAAGCCAGGATCTTTGCTTCTTAAGAGTTGCCCGCTAGTTATTGTAAAGGGTTGACTTGCTGTGTGACATCCTCCTACTCCAACAACAAGCTGGTGTTTGGGCAGGGGACAATCTTATCAGTCATTCCAAGTAAGTTTGCATGTTGTCTGTGGAGCAGTGGTTCTCAACCTTCCTAATGCTGTGACCCTTTAATACAGCTCCTCATGTTGTGGAGACCCCCCACAACCCTCAAATTCTTTCCACTGATGCTTCATAAGTGTAATTTTCTACTGTTATGAAACGTGATGCAAATATCTGATATCCAGGGTATCTGATATGTGACCCCCTTTCATGGGGTCGCAACCCACAGCTTGAGAACCGCTGCTGCGGAATAGGGTGGAATCCATAGTCATAAACACAGAGCTCGGGGGCAGGGTGGGTGAGGACGCAAAGCTGAAGGAGTCGAGGTCTAGTCACTCTGGTCAGCACAAGAGGTCAAAGAGCAGCAGGTGTAAGGTCAGTCCTTAAAAGGTGCCGCGGACAGTGTGGGCCTTGGTGGTGGCGACTAAAGGCCACTGTGGTTTAGTGCTGCCTTCTCCCCAAATATGGAGATACTTACAGTGGAAGGAGTGATGGGCATGAGAGAGTCGAGG